AAATAGCATAACCCGATTGTTCAACCAATCAAATTACTGATTTACAAAATTTTGGGATTCAAAGGGATTCAAGAAATCAAATAACATAAAAAAATTCGATATACAGCTCTGTGTAACACCCACTGTCTCTGCTGTACATGTGAAATGACTAAGGGTAGCAAAAGTCTTTATTACGTAACGGTAATTAAAACAGGTGATGATTATATCTTAAATATAGTATATTTAAATCCAGATTTAACTATTCGAGCTTTAATCATCGCCTGTTTTAAATCGGCGAAAAAACGTTTGAAACTGCTTTTTACCGTCCTCAGAAATAAATTGTAAAAATCATTATCATAGCATCATCCCTGGCTACTTGAGAGCCATTCAATCTTCAACTGACTAAGGATTTATCGTTTCATAAGATCCGAAATTAAGCCTGACCAAATTAAGGCTTGAAATAAGACAATCCTGTATGCAATCGGGCGCTGATGCAATTTTAATGCTGTCTCTGGATATATTTTTGTAGGTTGAAAAAAAAAAACCATATATTTCGGAAGTTTTTACTAACTCGGACAATTAAAAATCTAACAAAGATAATTTAAGAGGCAAATCGCAGTTAAGGGGTATAAAAATAGCAAATTTAATAGTAGAAATCGTCGGAAGTTAATATAGTTTTTCTATAGGGTAGAATGCAGTTAGATTTCAATGAAATTTTTTTTATGTCAAGTAAACCTTTCTTGAGTTTCTAACAAATATTATAAAGCAAGTTATTCCGGTTCTAATAGTGGTAGAATTATTAAAATTAGTCTAGTAGATCACGAGTTATTGGCATATGACTATATGATTTTTACATATTGCCAGAAACTTTCGGCATTCCAACATGATATGAAAGCAATAGTAATTCTCCGCCAATTTTTACTATGAAATTTATACCCTTCAACTGCGATCTACCTCTTAATTATCAGCTGCCCCATTAATTATGATGGTTGTAATCTTGACCAAAAATGTACCTAAATAATTTCAATTTTAGTAAATCCATGAACACCTATAATTCTAGCCGAAAAATGGCATTTATATAAATTTCTCCTATCTGTAAAGAAATATTTCAATTCGTTTCATTAAAAAATAGCCTTATTATGAAAAATCATTATATTCACCCTAAGATGACACTTATTAACTTATTATTAATTTTATTTATTTTTATTTTACAAAATTGCTTAACGATTAATGCACAGTACGAAGCATTGGCGAAATTTTGGGGAGTAACAAATGAACAAGTACCAAAGTTATTAAATATCGAAAGTCAATTAATTGCTTTAGATGGTAAATTAAAACCATTATTAGGTGATTCAGATTTTGGAGGAACATACATAGATGTAAAGGCGAATAAACTATACATTAATACAGTTAACTCGACTAAAATTTTTAGTAACAAATTAAATATACAATTACACATTATGTTTTTTTATATCATACTTTCTAAATATAATTTTTCTTTTTTCTTTTTGATACTACAATTAATCTTCCAGCATATCTACCAAAATCATCAATGAAACACCAATTAAAATTAGATCATTACAATTTTAATTAAAAAACAGCATATAATATAGGACCTTTGTAGTAGAAAGAATCCAAAAGATGATTTTAAGATAACCAAGTTTATTGTGCTCGGACTAGGGATGGGTTCGTTCACAAATGGTCACAATTATTCATAGTCAATTTTCTAAATACTGTGATGATCTTTTATTTTTATGCTTTTAATTAAAGTTGTTAAGCATTAAATTCATTTCATCCCACCTTATAAGTGAAATGGACGATACCTTCTCTGGAAATCATAATTTCAAAATTTGTCAGCGTAACAGTCAGAACTCCGTAAATGCACTGTCGTCGGGACCATAGGAAAAAAATTTGAAATAGTGCACTTAGAGAGTGTGTGCATTTATAGAGTAGAAATTATATATAGCTCTTATGAGTTGGGACCAGACTATACCGTGCATTTAGAGTTTTTTTACTTAGTCCGTACATTTATGGAGTGCGCATTTATGGAGTTCTGACTGTAACCGGTCAATGACCGGCGGTCAATAACCGGATATAACGTTAACAAATTTTGAAATTCTGGGTTCCAGAGAAGATATCGTTCTTTTCACTTATAAGATGGGATGAACTAAATTTAATTCCGAACAACTTTAATTATATAAGCTTAAAAATAAAGTATTTAGAACATTGACTATGAATAATTGCCGATTGTGACCGAACCCATCCCTAGTTCGGACATATCCAAACATTTAGTCTTTACTGGTTAATAATTCTGGGTAATCTTTACGCCGATTGATTTCCATGCCGAAATTTACACGAATCTTGCAAAATTAATTATGAAAATTTTTAAATTGATTTGCTTTCGGTTAATAACCTTAATCAGTTTTGGTATTACTTAATTGAAAATGTATATAAATAAATTGTATCAACTTAGTTTTAGGCAATAGTCTTAAAAGCTGGAATTTCACAAAAGCTGCAACATAAATTTTTACTAATCTATTTTAATTTATCGCTAGTAAAAGTGTTTTTATTTTACTCATCACTTTCTATATTATCACCAAATTTTCAGACAAGTAGTTTTTAAGCCATCTCTTTTGTTTTAAGAATACAATATTGTATGCTTTTAACAAAACCAAGCACCTACACGTAAATCTATCAACTCACTAATTTCGAATATAATTATATTCACTTCAAAGTTTATTGTCTACTGCAGCATTCGATATTTATAAATATTTATGAATTTTTAAATATATTTTAAATTTTTAGATTTTAGATTAGCTTTCTCTTCCCACTTCGTTCATTGTATATTCTTCATTTGAAAGATTAAAGTATTTATTATTGCTACTTTAAACAAATTAACAAAAGCGTATGCTTCACAATTTGATAATAACAAACCTCAAAATATTTCATAACTTTACTAGAATTTTGGTCTTAATCTTTCTCGTGACTTATATCCATTCATTTTCTATTTAAAATATTTCAGAACAGCTTCATTGTTTTCTTAATTTTGGTCAAATTTTAAAAGCTATGTTAAAAATTATTAAAAATCCTAAGTAGGTCCTCAAAATTTCAATGTAGGCTACTAGCCTGCGTAGTAATTTGCTACATAACCTACATACTTGCCCATTCCTAGGGATAATGATTCAACTTTATAAACAATCAAGATTTTTTTAATTAAAAGTAATCTATACTATAAAATTTTATATCCGGTATCTTATGTGAGAAACTTATAGGCTATTTACCTCTACCCCAGTTGCCCATCAATATTCAAAGGATCTCTTACAGATATGCGTATTTAATACACCTACATAGCATACTTAGTAAACCACATGATTGATCAAATTTTTTTAGTCATATACCGCAAGTTTAATCAATTAACAAGATGAACAATACTTTAAAATAGATTCTATGAGATGATTCGATAATATTTTTATAAATATTAAAAGGTTTGTCTCATACTTGGATCATTAATGCGAGTGTAAAAATCATACTATATTCTGGGTTAAACGCGACTACGTTGCGAGCTACCCTAGTTTTTTAGACTATGTAAAATTCTTTCAATTTTGTGAAATGATAGATCACCTTTAATACTGAATCATGTTCGCATATGATCACTCGAGAGGTAAAACCAGCAAGTAAAAATTTATCCCCTGAAGAATTGTAATTTTACGTAATTAACCACATATACGATCAGTGTTCTGGTCATTCCGGTAATATAATATATTAAATCCAGATATTATTTGGTGTTAATATATTCACATTGATCGTACAATTCTTCAGGGGATAAAGTTTTACCTATTCTACTAGTTTTCCCTCTCGGGTATTCATATTATTAAAAAATTTTTTTACTATATAAAATTTGTTTACCGTGTATTTGAATTGTGACAATAAAATTCTTAATAAAAATTTTATGAAAGGGTGAGATCCGCGCAGAGGTGATAACTTTCTTGAAGCAGATCTATATTTAATTAGGGTTAGTTACTATTTTAGATATATTTCTGCGCGGGTTTCACCCTGTAGTAAAATTTTTATTGGAAAAAATTTTTTAAAAAAATTAAAATTCGGATCACTGGATCACTAAAGGTTAGTCGTCAATATGTATAAGTTTGTGTGACCTAACTTGAAAAGAGCGATGGTTTTTAATAGAAAAATTAAAATCCAGGTTGTTATAACAATGGCCTTATTTAAAAAAGTTTGTTACTTAAAAAAAAAAAAAAAAAAGCCGTGCAGCTGGATCGTAGATCACTGTTCTATGATATGAATGTAATTTGTTTATATTTCAAATTTTCGAAGTTACGAAATGAAATGTAAGTGTTTGAAAACCCCATTTCATGAAATTAGTAAACTTTTTAATAACAAAGATCGTTAGTTCAAGTTCATCAGCAATTAAATAAAATTGAGGCAAACTAAAATAAGCATATATTTCAATTCTGAAATCCTCATTTTAAAAAATTTCAATAACGACCCATAAATCTAATACCATATTGCATGATTATGTTTGCTGGTACAGCTATGCTAGTGCCTCTAATAACTTTTGCACGCACCACTATACCAACTGCAAATGCATAAGGCAATGAATAACGACGTGAAAAGTCTACATAGTGGAATACAGGACCACCGCTATCGCCACCAGCAGCAAACATCAGCATTTTGAGGACTCCGTAAAGTATAAAACCTTGATTTGTAGACACACCATCGATTGCAGTCAATTCCCCGCAAGTTGTACCGGTTTTTTCACCAGATTTACATACATGAGATCCCTCAGTATTCATAAATAAAACTTCTTCTATAAATATCTCAGGATAAAGCGCAGCTTCATAGTTCCTTATTCTTGGTGCTAGTATGATTTCTGGATTCTCATATGAAATTAATCCAAAATCAGTTATGTTAGAATGATAATAATGCATTGGACCGATT